ACTTGGAATGCTAGAGAAAGCAAGAAAATCCTGAAAGTCAGGTCAGGAGACACGGTGAAGAAGGCTAACCCTGACGAGAAAGGCATCTCTTCCTCTGACTCCGGGGAAACTAATGAGAAGAGGCAAGTGCAGGAAAGGGCAGCTGAGTGGTCATCAGGTTTCCTGTGGGTTCCACCCAAATGGCCTCGGCCTTTCCCCACAGCCTGGGGGAGCCTTTGAGCAGAGCTGTCTGGCAAACGCGACGAAGGCCCAAGGACGTGCCTTACTCTTACCTGAACTTGGACCTCCTGAAACATCTCTCTCGATCAGCCACGGTTCTTCTCCTTTCTCCAACTGGGAAATCACACCAGGTTTGGAAAGCTGGTATCCTGCTCACAGAGAAGAAAAAAACTGCATATGCTGAGGTCAAAAAGCCATCGCAAGGATTTAAAGAGAGTTCTTTGGTATTCAGATCTTCTGAAAGGTGGAGTAGAAAGGCCAGGGCCGAAAAGACCACAGCAGTACAGGCTTGGTATTTGGAATGAACTAGAAACATTTAATAGAGGGTCCAAAGCCCAAGCATAGCACTTAACTTATAAATAAAATTTTTCTTCCAATAGGCAGGTTCTAATTACAAGGGGAAACCCATCCTTACCCACTGAGACCAGGTTCCCGTAGTTCTCCAGCATCACCTCCCGGTAGAGATTCCGGTGGGCAGGGGCCAACTGCCCCCACTCCTCCTGGGTGAAGTCCACAGATATGTCCTTGAAGGTCAACAGTTCCTAGAACATCAAATATGTTCCTTTTCAGCCAGAGTTCAGGAAGTTGTCCTGACCTCATCTAATGCTAAGAGATTCTAGTCAAGTTTTCCTGGACACCCTCTTGAAAACTGTTTGGCTGATTTTCTGCTGGAAGTTAGAAAACAACGCTGAGAGCAAGTTGTCTTTTGCAAATTACAATTTGGCAGAAGGCAAAATACTCATGAAATGTTAAAGAAGATAATAGTAAATTTGATGGACAATAAAGATCAGGAATATTTGAGGAGCGTTCCAAAGGGGCAAAGGCCACAAGAGAAGACAGGGACCATTGTTAGGCTGAAAGAATTGGTGAAAATGAGAACATTTCAGCTTGGGTAAAATACCATTAGCTGGGTATTTCTGTTAGTAAGAAAAGTATGTGAGACTAGCATGTTTCTGGAGGAAGCAGGAATTCCACCTAGTAAGGAAGATTCCTTGATGGAAGCAGACACTCTGTTGTAAAGTAGAAATGCTGCTTAAAATGGTTTATGTTTTTCCTTCCCTCAGATGCCATCCCTGAGGTTTAAGGGTAAGAACTACATTACTTATTTTTACACACACACACACACACACACACACACACACACACACACACATACACACACGATTTTTAAATTTGTTGGATACATGGCTAGAGGTTTGCTAGAAACAAGAGGGGTTCCTGAGGAAGGTTACTATCGGTGGAGAAATTACCTGTGAAATTAATGGATGCAACCTCGTTTCAAACAGGCTAGGAAAATGCAAGTGAGGAAGTCAAAGTCAAAGAAAATCAAAGTCCAGGGCTCAAAATCTGAAAAACAATTTCAAGAAAGTGACAGGAAACTCCAACCCACCTGGGATTCTGATGTCAGGGGGACAGGGATCACTTCATTCTCAAAACGTTCTCCCGGGGTCTCATCAGCATCTTGAGGGAGCAGAGCTGGGGAAGAAAACAGGCCATGAGATTTGCATCTCCCCAAATCCCCCACACAGAAGAACTGCCTGCAGATCTGCAGAATGTAGCTCTTTCCTCAGTACATTCAACAAGAGGGACATTCAGAGCCACTCAAGAGCTTCATGAGGAGCGTCGGCAGAGCACTGTTTTGGAGATTAAAGTTTCCCAATGTCAGTGAGCGTCCAAAAGCACAGATCTACCGGCCACTCCTCTGTTGAAAAATTCTCAGAGGTTCCCCACTGATGAAAGAAAAATCCAGACACTTCACCACGGACTTCAAGACCCTCCACAAAAGAAGGTTCTCCACACAAGAACCAGCGCAAAGCTGCTTCTCCAAGTATTATATTACTATCTCCCCCAAAGCACCATCCTCCATCTACTGGCCACAATCCCCACACCATCCTGTTCACCATTCTTTGAACATACCTGAAGAGCACCCAAGTAAATACTTTCCCCCAAATCCTGCTCGGTGAAAAACTGAGGTATCCTCTGGACCAGTTCAAGTCAAATTTTCTCAGGCACCCTTGATAAGAAGAAAGCTTCCTCTCCCCTGTACTCCACCAAAGCTTGGTTTTTGTCTCTGGTGTCTGTCTCAGGCTGCCTATTATATTTTTATAATTATCTCCCTCAGTTGAATACTATTATGAGTATATAGGTAGAAACTGTATCTGGTTCACTTTTTCCCCATCTTCTAAAGTGTTAAGCATTACACCTGCCATGTTGCTAGAATTCAAGAAACAGTGGCTCTGAATTTGAGGCATTAAAAATATAAATTAGGAATGAAGGCACATGAATGATTGTCCTTGTATTTTTTTCCCAACTTTTTTTTTTTTTAAGATTTTATTGGGGAATTGGGGGAGGGGAACAGTGTTGGGGAATTAGTAGAGGGGACCAGTCAAGTTGTTATTCTTCAATCTTCTTGGTGGAGGGCACCAGTAGCCACCTGGCTTCCCATCGGCAGCTCGTGGCATCTAAGCTCAAGGTGCTGTGTTCAGTCTTAGTTGCGGGTGGGCGTAGCCACCATCAAACAGGCAATTTTGTTGTTATACCAGCTAAGCCACCCTGCTACCTGTTGGCGGCTCAGCAACAGCTCAGCTTGGGTGTAGCATCACTGGCCCATGTGGGAATCAAACCAGCGGCCCTGTTGCTCAGAGTTCTTAAGCCAGCTTTTAACCAATTGAGCCACTCAGCTGGCCCACGAGCTGTATCTCATAATTCTAATTCCTGTTTCATTACTAAAGTCCCTAGGGGCAACCATGCTTGAGAGCTAGACATGGTCTCTTATGATCGTCCAGAAAAGGGACAAGCTGGTGAGCCTGCAGAGACAGTGCTGAAGACAGAGAGTAGTGGGGGCAGAGGGCAGGGACACTGGGAGTAGGGGAAATAGCTAAAGTGGGCAGTCTTTGGAGTGCCTAGGAACAACCACACTTCCAAACCAGAGGGGTTGCTTAGGCCTTGGCTGTGATCACTAGACATAGCATCAATCTCAGAAACTCTTAAGCGGGGACAAATTTGAAAAAGGGTTTCTTCTGTGCTGTCTTTGGCTTCCATCCAAGGTTTAGCACCACCCCACTCTTGAAGCTTACATAGTTCAGAGATGCTAAAGCAGTTTATGGAGAAGGCAGAGAACACAAGAAGCCAGGATTTGACATAAGGGCGGCATACAACTCTCAGAGATCAAGATGGAGGAAGCCTCAACTCAGTATGGCCCAGGCAGCCTTGCTAGGATTTTTCCCAGAACTTCTCAGATATAAACTCTTCCCTAATTCAGCCACGAAGGCCTCCTTTACTTTTGCTTGGGACTTAAGACTTCTCCCCAAAATGTGTGTATGTATATATGCATGAGCGTCTCCTGAGGGCTTATAACTGGAAACACTTCCCTGCTTGGTGCTGCTCTGGAGGCTGTGTGGATGGCCAGATTTGTTACACTATAAAATGGACATTTTATGTATCAGGAAAAAGATGCTCAAAATCCAAATCACCACTTTATAGTGTGGCAGCAGTAGTGCCAGCCCCTGCTTTTCCCATGTCACCCTCTACTCATACAGGGCTCCACTGTACTTTTTCATATTTGAGTGTCCATCCAAGGTCCATTAAGGTCTCCTGCTCCCCATTTTCTTGAGTGCAGAGCTATTCTCATATAATCTGAGTTTGAAGACTCGATGTTTATCTCTTAATTGGTGATGGTGAAGAGCACTAACAGCAGTGGAGGTCCCAGAGTAGGGAAAAGGGGAGGCAGGGATCACAGGGGCTGTCCCAAAGTCACGTGTCCCTACTCGGGATGGGGTGGGGCGTGTAGGGGCTGAGGCATTTATTGATCTTTCACTCTGCAAACTGGTCCAAGAACTTGAGGTAGGCCTGGCGCTGGGGTGCAGCTGCGGGGATGAAGTGGTCACCAGAGTGGGTGACAGTGATTGCTCCAGTGAATCGGCTAGCCAGTTGCACACTCTCCTCAGAGGGGATGACACTGTCAGTGTCCCCAAAAACATGGAGTGAAGGCAGTGATAAGGTGCCCTGCAGGATGGATTCTTGGAGGCCAAGCCCCCAAGGACAGAAACCAGATATCAGAATGATAAATCTTGACAAGGGGAAGCCGCGATCGCCCGCTTGGCTAAGGGCACACACAAGCGCTGCTAGCGCGGCTCCCTGGCTGAATCCAAGAAGCCCATCGGAAGGCCCCAGCTTGTTCAGTGCCTGTGCCACCGTTCCCAGGGCTTCCCCCAGACCTCTGCACACTGTGCGCTCTTTCAGTGCGGAGAAAACGTCTGCCTCCTGTTCTGAAAACCACCAGCCTCGAATCTGCTCCTCTGAAGGGCAGGGCCCAGACTCCAGCCCGGCGCCCTCCAGGCCCGCTACGTCCACGACCGGGTGCGGGCCGCTGAGGCACACGAGCTCGGCGTGGCCCCGCAGCGCCTTCCTCAGCGCTCCCCACCTTGCTCGCTCTGCCGGAAGCCCGCCAAGCACAACACCCGCAAAGGTTGCCGAGCGGCCATAGTGCGGGACAATGCGCCTCAGGGACCGGAAGCCTTTTCCCAACTTTTAATCATGAATATCAAACACCCATCTATCCACCACCTACATTCAATGGCTGTTAACATTTGCCATATTGGCTTCATCTACCTATATTTTTTTCTAAACTATTTCAAAGTTACAGACATCATGATGCTTCATCCAAAAGTACTTCAAATAAGGATCTTCTCCTGTATAATCACAATACCATTTGTCACACTTAAGAAAGTGAACAGTCACTCCACAGTATCATCTAAATAGTCCATATTCAGATTTCCTCAATTGTTCCCAAACTGTCTTTTATTCTGGATTTTTTCCTAACCAGGAGCCAATCAAGGTTCACACATTCAAAGTGGTTGTTATGTCTAGTCTCTCTTACTTTAGAATAGTATTTCCCTTTTTTCCAAGACATTAGTTTTTTTAAAGACCATAAGTCTCCCTGTATGCTCACGGTGGGGTTTACCTTATTTCTCCATCCCTTGTGTTCTCTCTAAACTTAATTTAGGATCAGGTCAAACATTTTGGCAGGAATACTTCATGGGTGATACCATGTGTTTTATAGTACATTACCCAGAAGGCACAAAATGTCAGGTTTTCCCATTATTGGGATACTTGGTTAAGATCTGACTATCAGATCGCACCACTGTTCTTTCCTTGGCATTTAGCAAATAATGTGTGTGGGCGATACTTTGACACCATGTGAATAACCTGTTTCCTATCAACCTTTCAATTATTTCATTTTCAGTAAAATATTCTATCGTTTCTTCTACATTTATTATTGTCAGGTATTTTCTGTAACGAGCTTTCCCTCAACGACTGGAAATGATCTAAAAGGCAAGATAAACACATCCTTCATTCCCATAATAATCTACTTTCAAAGTAAGAAATCAGTGGATTCATCACCACCAATGTTGGCAAATGAGTTTTTCTCTCCTCCTTTCTCTATTTTAAATGCCATCATGAACTTGTGGAATTTTATTTATTCAAGGTGTTACAATCAATTTGGACACTTAAACTGTCCCATATTTGTCCAGTGGAAGCGCCCTGAACCTGGCTGTTGCATCCATCTGATAAATGTCTATTAGTCTTTGAGCTCTTCCTTGCTTTCTAGCACAAGGTACTCTAGGCTCACCTGGTACTTTCCCTGCTGCCTTCTGCTAATGACCAGGCCACCAACCGCCTGGTCGGGGCTCCCATTCGATTCACAATTCCCCACTGTAAAGTAAGGGAAGTCAGGCAAGTCCTCCCTGCCCCACACTTGGGCCTCCCTGCCCTTGGGGAAGATGAAAAGAAATAACATATACAGCCACAGCACTGAAATATTGGTTTTAGGTTGAACTGACCACAACTACTCAGGAAAACCCCACCCAGGCCAGGAACCATCATCAAGAATTCCAGAAACCTTTTATCCAGTTGTCTCCCCAAGAGATGCTTCTGCTCAGGTGTCCACCTTCCTTCTCACACTAGAGGATGTTGCTCCCCCCCCACCCCCCCGCACCCATCAGTCTGTGCTCACCTTCTCCTTCAAACATCTTAGTCACGTCCTCCCACAAGGGCGCCCCCTCCTTGGCCTTCCTTGAACGGTGCAGCTTCACCCAGGTGCCGGCCTCGGCGGGCAGGGTGATCAGGAGCCGCTGCAGCATGATGACTTCAGCACCTCTTTCTGGGGGACTCTGGCCTCAGCCCACAAGGCAGGCAATCCTGATTGGGCTTGTCCACTACCGATGAGGAAACTGCAGGACACTCTCAATGTAGGCTTCACAGCTGTACAAGCGTCCTCCCTCTCAGGAATCCGGGGCACATACAGTACGTAATATCCGCGTCTGGACCTTTTAAAGGCACGGCTCTCAAGGAACACTTCCTTCCCATCTTGAGCTCCATTTGTCTCCTCTGCAGGCAGCTGGGGGCTCCAGGTATTTATCCTAAGCAGCCACCTCTAGAGCTCCCTTGTGATGCTGGACAGAAAACATGAGAATCAGCAAAAGGACCTAGAAGACTCAGTCACATGGTCCGAATTCCAAAGCTTGCAGGAGTCACTGAACAATTTTTACGAAAGATACACGGAGACCGTGGATATACACAGCCCTCGTGATCCAAAACTCTGCTGGAGTCAGGAAGTGTAAAGAGATGAGTAAAACCCAACTCTGTGTTTTTAGGCACTGTTCTGTTTAAAATAGGCTGAGATTTGGAATCACAGAGGATCTGGGTTTGAATCCCAGCTCCTTCACTTGGGGGGTGTGGCAAATCATGTCACCGCTTTAATCCCGTTTCCTCCCCCCTAAAAGGCGAAGATAAACCTTTCTCCAGAGCTGCACTGGCCCGGCCCTGCCCTCGCAGCCTTTGTCTGAGCCCGATTCCCGGGCTCTGGGCTCACTGCGCGCCACGCGTCACCGCGGGCGGGGCGGACCCCGCACATCCCTGCTCGTCCTCTCCCCAGGCTCCGGAGAGTCCCCGCTCACCCCTCACCGGCTCGGATCGCACGCCCTCGCCCTACTGCCGCGGCCGGGAGGTGTCGGTGCAACGCGAAGATGCTCCTACGCAGCGCGGCCCCGGCAGGTGCGCCTGCGCGGCCGCGGCCTCCGCGCGTGGTTCCCAGCGTCCTCCGGGGCAGCGCCCAGTCCACAGTCGCCTCCGGGGGATGCTCGCCCGGCCGTCCGGTCCCTCTCGGTTTGCTGCATTCCAGATCCGAACACAGGTCCTTCCACGTCCCCCACCCCCACCCCCCACAGAGACTACTGAACAGAACAGCTCTCCTCTGCCGAGAATAAGCATGTAAATGTTTCTGTGAGGTTTGAAACACTTGACAATAGGGAAACATCTGTATCACTTCTTTGTCGAAACAACATTGGTATAAAAGAATCCATACCACTGTCGCTTAATTAATAGATAAATGGAAAAGAATGAAAATGGAGTGGAATCCAGTGTTTTATCTAAAGAATACCATGATCAAGTAGTTTTTGTTGTTGTTCTATATTCAATAAGCTCTTAGGTCAATCGCTTCCTTTATATTTCTGAAATGTCAGAAAATACACAAAAGCAAAATAAATTATAATCTCACCAAACAGAGATAACCATTGCTAACATTTGGTGCACACACTTATCTACACACACACACACACACACACACACACACACACACACACACAGCAGTGATGTTTTTCATGCATTTTTATGTTTTAGGAGTTTTTTGGTCATACTGTAATGCTGTTTCATTGCTGGGTTTTGTCTCCTCAACAACATAGGAGTACATCATTCCAAGTATATACTTCTACCTCAATAGGCTACAAAACAATTTAGAAAATAGAATAAAACTATGTAGTTGCTAGCTGTTAATGGACTATGTCTCCCCACCTACTGCCCCAAATTCATATGTGAAAGCCCTAACCCCCGGTGTAGCTGTATTTGGAGAAAGGAAGTAGTTAAGATTAAATGAAATCATAAAGGTGGGGCCCTAATCCAATAGGATTACTATCCTTATAAAAAGAAACACCAAAGGGCTCTCTCCTGCTCTCTCTCCTTTCCCCCCTTTCCTTCCTCCTCCTCCCACTCCTCTTCCTTCCTCTCTCACTCTCTCTCTCCCCATCTCTCTGTGCAGGCACTGAGAAAAGGTCATGATGAGGATTTACCAAGAAGGCACCATCTATAAGCCAGGAAGAGAGCTCTCACCAAAAACCGACACTGTCAGACCTTGATCTGGGACTTCTAGCCTTCAGAACTGTGAGACAATAAATTTCTATTGTTTAAGCCACCCAGGCTATGATACTTTGTAATAGCAGCCCAAGCAGACTAATATACTAGCATATAGTATTTACAGAGCACGAGGCTTTGTTCTAAGTGCATTACATATTTAGTCCTTGTAACAACCCCTTAAGGTGAGTATTATTATTATTATCACTTTGCAGATAAGAAAACTGAGGTTTGGAGAAGTTAAGTAACTGGTGCTGCATCGTGCAGCTTCCAAGTGGTGAATCCAGACAGTCTATGCTCCTACCTGCTGCTCAACAAAAACACGGCACAAAATGTAGTAAAATGTTAATGGTAGAGTCTGAGGAGTGGCACATGGATGCTCACTGTAAAATTCTTCCAACTTTCCTGTGTTTTAATATTTTCATAATAAAAATATTAGAAAAATGTAGCTAAGGATACACAACAAGACTGTGGAACATTATAAATAAAACTACAAAAGTTACTGATTTAAATGGAGAGAACAGTGACATATACCATAGTCATGGACTGGAATAGAACATTCTAAATATGTTATGTTTCCTCCACTTTAATGCTCCCCAATCAAAACCTCAACTTTTCTTTTTACTAAAATTTAATGATTCTAAAATTTACCTGGAATGGTAAATGTTCCAGAATGGCTAATAAAAATTTCCAACAATAATGAAGTCAGACTTACCCTACCAATGTAATTGGTATAAATTGCCCTACCAATATAATAGAAGATATTATCTTGTATTATTGAGGCACAATAATCAAAATAAATGCCAAAAATACTCACAAATTAGTTGACATGAAGTTGAAAGCCCAGAAACAGACTTGATAATTTATTTAAATTTAATGTTATAAAAGTGACATTTCGAATTAGTGGGGTTATGATGGATTATTCAATAAGTGTCATTAGGACAACTGGGTAGCTATTTAGGACTTGAGCAGATACCTCACCAAAGAAGATACACAGATGGCAAGTAAACATATGAAAAGATGTACAACATTCTATATTAGGGAATTTCAAATTAAAACAAGATACCGCTACACATCTATTAGAATGGCCAAAATCCAAAACATTGACACCACCAAATACCAGCAAGGATGTGGAGCAATAGGAACTCTCATTCATTGCAAGTAGGAATGTAAGATGTTATAGGCACACTGGAAAACAGTTTGGCAATTTCTTACAAAACTAAACATACTCTTACCATACAACCCAGTAATCACACTCCTTGGTAATTAACCAAATGAATTGGAAACTTATGTCCACACCCAAACCTGCACACAAATGTTTATAGCAACTTTATTCATAATTGCCCAAACTTGGAAGCAACAAAGATATCCTTTATAAGTGAATAGATAAGTGAACTGTAGTACATCCAGACAATGGAATATTATTCAGCACTAAAAAAGAAATGAGCTATCAAGCCATGTAAAGACATGGAGGAAACTTGAAAGCATATTACGAAATGAAAGAAACCAATGTGAAAAGGCTACTTACTGTATGATTACAACTATATGACATTCTGGAAAAGGCAAAACTATGGAGTCAGTGAAAAATAAATCAGTGGCTGCAAGGAGTTAGGGAGAAGGAAGGGATGAATAGGCAGACCACACAGGATTTTTAGGACAGTGAAAATATTCTGTATGATACTATGAAGTTGAATTCATGTCATTATAGATTTGTCAAAATCTATAGAATGTACAACGCCAAGAGTGAACCTAATGTAAATTATGGATTTGGGGTGATAATGATGGGTCAACGTAGGTTCATTAATTGTAACAAACATACCACTCTGGTGCCGGGTATTTGAGAGCTCTGTACTTTCCGTTCAGTTTTGTTGTGAATCTAAAAGTGCTCTTAAAAAATAAATTCTAATTAAAAAAAGTCTTTACCACAGGACTTTTCAGGGCCATTACTATTTGGATATTATATTCCAGATGGACAAGAGATGATGCTCGTATACCATGCAGTCTTCCCCAAGCTTATTTTGGCGTTGTTGTGGAACACCTTTGAGCATCTCACATCCTCATAACCAGTTCATGAATTGCTGCTCGAAGCCAGTCCGTTCTTCCCTACCCCTACTATCAGCTCTCGCCTTCTCTCTGGTCCCCTAGATCTGGATTTGTTTTCTCAAATACATTGTTCTCAGCAGCTGCCTAAAACTCATATCTGACCATGTCACTCCACTGTTTACAACACTTCAGGCTAAACTCCTTCCTAGGGTATAGGAAAACCCCTGGGATCTGGCCCAACCCCACCTCAGTCTCACCTCTCATCACACCCCGACTCACATTGTACCCGAGGAACACTGAACTGCTGTGTGTCCCCGGATGTTCTGTGCTCTTGTAGGGCTCTTCATCTCATTTACATGGTACTTTATGTCTGGAATACTCTTCTCTCCACCCCACCCCACCCACTGCTTAACTGCTACCTCTCCTCTACGTGCCGCTTCCTTAGGAAGGCTTCCCAGGGTGAGGTGCCCCTCTAGCTCCCGTAAACATGTATAAGAGATTCTAAGTCTTGTCGCATGATACTGTGAGCTCCTTAAGAGCTGGGACTATGTCAGATTCAGTTTTTATCTGTTCTTCCCAGATTCTAAAAGCTGATGGGCCCCAGGGCTCAGTCCTTCTCATTATGCTTTCTGAGGTGACACCATCCAGTCTGAGCTTTACATACCATCAATACCTCCAGCCAAACAATTTCCAGTGCAGACATTTACCCTTGCTCCGCTTTTTCCAGATCCCCACACAACTGGCTGCTTACTCAGGTCTCAGTTCAAATGTAAGCTCCTCCTGACTACTCCATTTAAATGGTCCCATGCCCACTCTTTCTCCTTAACTGGTCTCACCTTGTATTATTGCCGTCAGAAATTTATTTACTTGCTTATTGTCCACCTCTCCTACCAGACTGTCCTATGAGGTTGGGAAATTTGGATTTATTGCTTTATTCCAGAGCCTAAGACAGTGTTTGGCACATTGTGAACACTTACTACACATTTGTTGAATGCATTAATGCCTAACATAGGTCTGGCACATAATACGTGCTTACTAACATTTGCCTGTTAAGTATTCAATACTGTGCTACACGCACCACATGAGTTGCTTCATTTTACCTGTAGTAGTACCGTTAACCCCGTTTTACAGAGACAGACACGGGTTCAGTAGCTTACCCTGGTCGCAGAGTAAGAAGGGATATAACCACTGGCAGCCCGATCCAGTGCTCACCTGCTTATCCACTACACTATCCTCTCAGATCTGAAAGTATTCAAATGGTATACTCAAAGGGAGGGAGGGAGAGAGGGTCTCGGCTTCCCTATCTGGAGGGCGTAAAAAGTGCTTCGAGTTCCGATGTTCTGTGACTCTAGCAGGTGCAGATCTCCACAGTTCCCTCCCATCACAACTCTAGACACCAATGGAGAAAGGTCCCCTTTCTGACTGCCTGCGCTGGGGCCTGGCCCTTGGGTATGCCCCATACAGAATTTTTTAAAACACAGGAAGTGAGGGAACTGACCCTGGAAAGCAGAAAACCTGGGTGGAGCCTCCTCCAAGAGGGACACAGAGTAACCGCAAGCACACAGTCCTTCCCTGCAATATTTATTAAGGAATTTACACATACACAGGAGAAAGGCAACCAGGAATTGTGGTTCCCACAGATGAAATCTTTTAAGCAAAGTTTTCTTAATTTTCAAGTAGGGTGAACAATGACCGAGCGGAAAGCTGTCCAGGCTCTCTGCTTCATACACCTGGAACAGTTGGGGAAAACAGAGCCGCTTGGGATGCACAGGCATGAAAGAGTGATTGGCAGGTTGGGAGATGGGAAAGGAGGAAGGGAGCCATCAATGAGATTGCAATTTTTTTAAACTATAAGAAAAACTGGCAGCAGTTTTAGGCTGTTGATAAATTAACTCCTCTCTGTTGTAAACCTAAAACTGAAAAAACAAAAATACCCAGAGCAGATGGGGAGAGTGTGGTGGGGGGTGGAACACACACACACACACACACACACACACACACACACACACACACGCAGCAATATGCGTGTTAAGCTCTGCATTCTCACTGGAGGGAGTGGTCTTCCAGCCGTGGAGCCAGATCCTTCTGCAGGCAGGATGGAGGCAGGGAAAGGGGTGTGTGGTTTTACGTGGGACCTTCACAGAGTCTTTGGTGCTAATAAAGACTGACTGAAGCAGCCAGTCCTGAAGTCTCAGAGCCAGAAAGCAATTCAGGGCATAGTAAAGTAATATTTTTGCTCATCCCCATAGATGGGGGTTTGCCTCATCCAGGGCGAGGGCCAACCTTATCTGAGACCCAAGGAGTATTTCATTTCATTTCAGTCCTTTCTTCTTTCCCATAAATCATGGAACCATGATGGCTCCCTCTTCAACCCATAATTTAAACATATAGGAATAACTCACACGGAGGTACCTCTAAACCCTCCCCTTTGCCTAAAACAACCCCTGCAGACCCTTCTGAGAGTCTAAGAGGAGGTTTACCCTGTGGGCAGGGTACGCCAAAGCGTGCACATTTCTCCCATAGCTTAAGTGCCGTCTGCCAACAATTCCTAAGGTGCTGGTGCAGGAGGACTAGGGCTGAGACTGGGGAGGAGTCAGGATGGCCAGGGAACGTGGACAACATAAAGCAACAGAGAGAGGGCTGCGGGTTTGGGAAGTGGCTGCACTGGGCAGAACGCCAAACCCCAAATGACAGAATGAGCAATTTCTAAACCAAACTGAGAGAGGTAGGAAAAGGGGATGGGGTGAAAGGGTTGAGAAAAGAGGAAAAAGGGGGACAGAGAGGGTGGTGGAGAGTGGCAGCCATACAGGTGTTTTGTTTTTATTTCCACATCTGAGGACTGAGAGTCTGATTTGCTGCCTGTCCATTTCCGCCGCTCATCGACTGTCCATAGCTCAGCATGCCATTGGCTCCACAGAAGTTCATGCCAGCCATCTGCTGGGTCATCTGCAAGGGAGAGAGGAGACTTTCAGACCAGGGTGTGGGCAAGCAGCCAATGAGTGCAAAAGGCAGAGTAGGGGAGGAAGAGCGTGAGACAAAGCGGAACTCTGTCATGGTACATAATTGCCCTGAACCTTCATAGATCATTTCAAGGACACCAGACCACATAAATGAAGGACTTTTCAGGAAAGAGATGTTGACAGAGGCCAATGCTCAGAGAAGGAAAGAAGGGATCTTGGAGCTAGTCAACATAAAAGCATCCTGAGAAGTTACCCTCTTTTTCCCCTCCAGGATCTCATCCTAAATAGAAGGGGCCTATTGTTAATGTGCTGTAGCCAATCCTCAGAGTGTGGCGAAACCCCCACGCCAGCGTGCCTGTCTTATCTCCACCAGAGAGTTATTACTGTCAGGGAAGGGCTGCACACGTTCAAGCAGAGATAAAAAGAAAGAAAAGAAACTGGACTGTTCAGAATGAACAAACGAAGGCAAAAAAAAAAAAAAAAAAAAAAAAAACTGGACTGTTCAGAATGAACAAACGAAGGCAAAAAAAAAAAAAAAAGAAAAGAAAAGACCAATGTGTCTTCAGTGCATGAGAAGGGAAGATGTTGGGAGAAAAGTCAGTGGAGTAAGGCCTGGCTGGGGTTAGGGCCTCTTCATGAATTAAGCTGAAAGACTAGCCTCAAGCAGTGAACACAAGAAACAACTTATCAAAGAAAAATGCCTTAAATTTCCTAAGCCTGATACATTTTCTATATAAGTTCTTTTTCTTTAGGAGGCCTATTTTTCTCCAACAACTTTTAAATAAAATGTCAAGTTTACAGAAAAGTTGAAAGAGTAATACAAAAGAACCCATATATCCCTTCTTTTTTGTTTTTTTTTTAACATTTTCAACTTAATATCAAGTTAGATAACATTTACAAATAGATCATCATAAATTAATAAGTGGAGTAGATTTTTCTACATAATTCACATCAGATTTAACAGACTCTTCACTGATTCTTTGTATTAGGAAAGGGTATTTTCATTGTCCTCCTCATTATTTTTTTTTTAAGCTTTTATTGGGGAATTGGGGGAGGGGAACAGCGTTGGGGAATCGGGGAAGAGGAACAGACAAGTTGCTGTCCTTTTGTTCTTCAGTCTAGTTGTGGAGGACGTCGCTTCACTGTCCCATGTTGGTATTATCATTGCGCTCTTCCCAGGTGAGGCAGTCACTCGCCGGCCATTGGACGGCTGCTCACGGAGGCTCCTGGCAGCTCACACTGGCTGCCGGCCACTCACACTGGCTGCCAGCTACTCATGGTAGCTCATGGCAACCCACTGCAGCAGAGGCTGCAGCCTACACCGTCGCTGACGACTCATGGCAGCCCAGCTCCAGGTTGAGCTGTTGCTCACCATCTTAGCTGTAGAGGGCGCAGCATCACTGGCCCTCATGTGGGATCTGAAACAAGGCCCTGCTGCTCAGAGCTGGCGTCCCAAGCCAACTCAACCAACGCGCCACTTGGCCGGCCCTGTCCCCCTCATTCTTAAGACTAATAACACACTTTTCGTAATCTTCAACTTCTTTAGTATCAACGAGCTTTTCTCTATTTACTTCCAGATTTTTCTCTGCGACTTTAATTTCAAGAAGTATTTCTAGGACATTTTTTCTAAGGAGCTATTTTTTTCATATACTATTGTCTTCCATGTCTGTTGCAGTCTTATTTTTCTCCCATTCTTCAGTTTTCCAAGACTCATGGTATAAAACTGTTAGCAGATACATTGCATAATCATAATTCTGTCTCTTTAAAGGGTACCTATCTGTCTTGATGGTAAGCACATCTGTGGTCTTGCACTATTATTCGCCTATAAGTTTAATAAGTTTCTTCTTTGCACGACCATATGAATTCAAATAGGAAAGTTTAACCCTTAAGGTTACTACTTGTGTTTTGGGGTTTCAAATGGATGGTCCTGATGAAACATAATCAGGTGTGTCAATTTCAATTGGAAAATACTTCTCACATTTCTCATCGCTGTCTAATGCAGCTGGCCACTCAGCATAGAGATCTCTGAGAGCTTCACAGTGCTTTTTAATTGCTACAGGAGTCAAATGCAGAAAATTGGGGGGCTTTCAAAGTCCTAGATTTCCCTCCTTTGCCATGGGCACTGGATCACCCATTTGAACAGGAAGAGTTACTGTAGAGGGTTTAAACAATGCTGCAACAGGGTGAACACTAAACCAGTCCTGGTCAACAGCCATTTTCTCTGTCCTGGAGGTAGTTCCTTTCTTCTCAGTGGACTTGCAGATTTGGATGTTCTTTGTGTTGTACATGGGCTTGGTCTCTGCGCAAGAGTAGCTGGAGACACGGTGATGAAGAAAGCACACAGGGTCCTGGCTCCTGGCTGTGGGGCCAGCCCAGCAGGGAAAGTGGCGGCCTCCACGGCTGCGAAGACAAGCCACGGAGGACAAGCGCAGTCTCGAGTCAAGGGAGGGGCCCCATACATCCCTTTCCTAAATTCACCAATGGTTAGCATTTTGCTATACTTTTATCTCTGAGATATAGGTATATATAAACTTTTAAAATGTTTGATGAGCATTAAAAATTGCAGATATTGTGACATTTTGCCCCTTAATTCAGAATGCATTTCATAAGAAAGAACACTTTTCCTGGAATCACAATACAATTAACATGCTCAAGAAATTTATGGTTAATACAATATTCTAGTATACACTTAGTTTTCATATCTCTTTAATCTAGAACAGTTTCCCCACCACATTTTTCTTTTTTTCCCTGGCATTGTTTTAAAAATCCAGGCCACAGAAAATCTTTCAATTTGAATTTATTTCATGTTCTCTTATGACTGGATCCAGGTTAAATATCTTTGGCAAGAATTCCATATAGGTGATACTGTGCCCTTTTTAGGTCTTAGTACAAGATACTAGAAAGCACATGACATCAATTTGTCCCATTGTTGGTAATTTTATATTTGATCACTTGGCTACAGTAGTAGCCATCACATTTTTTCATTGTAATTAATACATAATTACAGGATATTTCTTCTCTAAGAATGTGTGAATACTTTGTTCTTATGTTCTTTCTATAATTATAAGTTGTCGTTCTTCTGTGAAGAAGGCTTTCCCTCTCTTTATCCCACACACACTTAAAAAAAATCACTATGGACTCATGAATTTGTTTTTCCTTCAGTGTATTATAATCCATTAGTGTCATTTTTTATGTTAAAATTGTCGCATATTTGGCCAGAGGTTTCCACCTCTAGTAGTTGGCTCATGTGTCTTTTTGACATGTTCCCATCCATTTTACAACACTTCAACACTTATATAAATAAAAAGAATGAAAATAAGCGAATTAAAATCCCAAGTATGAAAGCCAGAAAAAGAAGGAGCAAAGTAAATCAAAAGAAGGCATATGGAGGGAAATAGTAAAGATAAAAAACAAATTAAGGTAGAAAACAGAAAAATGCAGAACTAATAAATAAACCAAAATCCGGGTTTTTAAAAAAAATAATTAACAATATAGATGGACCACTAGTCAACCTAACTGAAAAAAGGAGAAGGGGAAAGGAGTGCATAAACATACAAAATAAAAAATGACAAGAGAGAAATAACCACTGAAACAGGAAGCTGAAAAATCATGAGACTACTTGGCATAACTTTTGATATATGAATTTGAAACCTAGATAAAATGGATAATCTAGGTAAATACAGTTTTCCAAAAATGACTTCCAAAGCAGAAACAGAGTAAGCAATCAAAAAATTTCTATACAAAAAACCCAAAGACCCATATAATTTCACATGGGAATTCTAGCAAATCTTCAAAGACCAGTAAATTATTCTAGACTACAGAAAAAGGAAAATATAACAATACTTTGATAAAGCAAGTATCACAATGATACCTAAGCCTGATAAAAACAGCATGTGCATGCATGCATGCGGCATTCATTCCTTTGCCCATCTTTTTATATTCAGACTTTAAGTCATTTTGTTTCACCTGCATTTTTTGTATCCAGTATAAAATTAGGTGTTGCTTTGTGAGCCAATTTGAACATCTTTTTCTTTTAAGAGAAGAGCTGCCTATTGATATGACTGATATGTTCAGTCTCAATTCTATTATGTTTTTACTGTGTTTGTATTTGCTGTACTTTGTAGTCTATGTATTCTATTTTGTTGTAAAAATTCCTTTTGGTATTTAGAAAGTCTTATTTTTTTGTTCTAGTAATGACTTTCATATTAACACTTTTTATATTATCTTTGGTCACCTTTATTCTGTATTCAGGCTTCTACTACTTGGTTTATCAGCTTATTACATCTTTTGACTTCCACCTAATTTCCAATGCAACAATCAATTTATTTTACTTTCCCCCCTTTTCTCCTTTATCTCTATTTTTTTTAGTTGTACTGTTTCTGTTTGTCAGAATACAACATATATTCTTCCATCCTTGTCATTACCTTTATTTTAGTCTTAGGGTCTCAATTAAACATTCAATCACCATCAGTCCTTTTGCCAAAATGTCCCCAGTCATCTCTTAGTTGTCTGAAGCTTATCTTCTGGTAAATTCCTCAGGAAAGACTTTTAAGTATGATATTCCTTGATTTCTTGCATACTTAAGATTATTTTATAATAGCCCTGATACCTGAAGAATAGCTTGATTTGGCTATAAAACATTTGTCTTACATGTACTTAAATACTACTCATCTTGTTGTCTTTTTGTATGTTGCTATTAGGAAACCTGATGTCAATCTGGGTTTTCTTTTTTCTTTGTAAATGACAGATTTTGAGGGTGGGAGGTTAAAAAGAGGTTTGGAGCCCTGAGAATTCTTCTTGTCTATAAAGTCTAAAAGTTCACTGGAGTATGTGTTAGAATTGACCATTCTGAGTCAGCTTTTCCAAATATACAGTGGGCTTCTTCAATATTACATTTAAGTCTTCTATTTCTAGAAAGTTTTCTTGTATTATAGTTTTAAATATATTAATTCTGTTTCACCATTTTGTTTTTCTTCTTTGGGAGTCTCCAAATATATGTGTTAGGCCTTCTTGGCCTAATTTCCACATTACTTTCTCTCTGATTCTTTTTACTACTTTCTATATTTAATTTTCATTCTCTTTAGCTCTTTCATGCCTTTCCTCAATACCAAATATAGTATTTTCAGCTAAATCTGGTCTCTCTTGACTGATTTATAATGCAGTCTTTATTTCTGAGTTCAGTAAACTTTCATAACTTTCAGGTTTTTGTCCATTTTGATTCTAAGTTTTTGAATTTCTGATTCGAGCTGTTTTGTCTTATCTGTAAGTGTTTGTTAAAGGGCATTTAATTCAGGTTGGTGGACTATGTAAGTGTTCTTCTGCTTCATGACTGTTTTGGTGGGGGGAGAATTTTTTTTTTTTTTTTAAGATTTTTATTGGGGAATTGGGGGAAGGGGAACAGACAAGTTGCTGTCGTTTTGCTCTTCAGTCTAGTTGTGGAGGATGTTACTTCACTGGCCCAAGTTGGCACCATCATTGCACTCTTCCTGAGCGAGGCAGATCAGTCGCCGTCTTCTGGACGGCCGCTCACTGCAGCTGCTGGCCGCTCACGCTGGCTGCTGGCTACACACGGTAGCCCATGGCAACCCACTGCAGCAGGGACTACAGCCTACGCAGTCGCCGGAGACTCATTGGCAGACCAGCTCCAGGTTGAGCTGTTGTTCAGCATCTTAGCTGTGGAAGGCAGTGTCACTGGCCCTCATATGTGGGATCCGAACTGGGGCCCTCTGGCGTCCCAATTGAGTTCTTAACCATCGCGCCACTCGGCTGGCCCGGGGGGAGAATTTTTATTTCCTAAAATGTTTTGATCTTCATTTTCTATTTTCTTCTCATAATAGTTTTGTATGAATGTCATCTGCCACTTTCTGTTTATTTTGTAGTGCCTTATTTATTTTTTTTAGCTGAACCATCCTGTCACCTGTTGGTAGCTCAGCAGCTGCTCAGCTCGGGCCGGGACTCAAGCCGCTGTTGCTCAGAGCTCAAACTCTTGAGTGAGTTCTTAACCAACTGAGCCACTCGGCCGGCCCTGTAGTGCCTTATTTTTTTTTGAATAGGCAATAATACAGATAGGTGTGAGGGTCTGGAAAGGCTTACTAGATTTCTTAGTTCAAGAACACCTTCTTTTGTGGGTCTAGTGAAACAACTATGGCAGGAGGAGGACGGTGTGTTTCTGATTTTGTGACTCTCTTTTCCACTTCTCATTTCTTCCCTTCCCTTCCCCACCAGGTCTCCAAAGAGCACATTCTTCTTGTAAGTCATCCCCATCGCCCCTAGAAGCAATGCTTTTCCAAGCCCATCATCTATAATCCTATATATTTCAATCCCTTGCTTTTGATTCTCCACGTCACCAGGGTTCTAATGTACCAGATCTCAGACCTATTCTTAGCATGTCTCCAATCAGAGTTAAGTCCTCTCTCCCTAGGGGGTGATTTTATCTGCGTCCTGTCACCTCTAGCTTCCTGCTTCCTCTCTTTTCACAGAGTCTCCTCTATGACACTGGCTCTGCTAGATTTAGGTGTTTATATGCTTAAATTTGAAGTCTGGAGTATTTTGTCTACTAGATGAAGTAGTCATGGGTTACGGGTGGTTTTGTGTTCCTTATTTATCTGTATAGGTTGTTTTTGTTTTGATGAATGTGTGGAGAGATTTAGATTTAGGCAGTTACCCTTATTCTACAGGAACCCACAACTCCTCAGAAAGTCTGACTGTGATAGACCTTTCTGGGGCAGGGGGGGGGGGGGGGGGAAGCAAACCTAAGAATGTCTCTTGCATTATCTCATCTACTATTAGGATTCAAAGGATAAGGGAGAAACACAAAGTGAGGAGGCCTTAAGGAAGTCTCAAAACTCTTGTTCTGAGTTCAGTGGGGCAGCTTACCTGAGTAAGGTTCCATTGCAGTTGCTGAGCTGGCTGGACCCCATACATAGTCTGGGGCACAGCTGCCATGCCTGCCATGTAGCCAGCCTGCTGGGTGGTCATCATTCCATTTGGCACGCCCATCATTGATGCCTGCATGCCACCCATATAGCCTGCAGGCATGGCCATGGGGGCAACCATCCCAGAAGCTCCTGGCTGAGCTACCATGCCTACTGGTGGGGGCATCATGCTCCCCATTATGCTGTTAGGAGGCGCAACCCCAGGGAAGCTGGGGTAGGCTGTGGGATATGCCATCTGAGCGGGAGCCATGAACATTGCTGCCAAGAAAACATACATATACATCTGTTACAAGGGAAGCGCAAAATTCAGTCCAAAGTCTCACTGGCTACTCCTCTCCAGCCTGAATTTCTCAGGACTACTCAAAGCAGAATGCTCTTTTACACAGCAAAACAGACAGACACCCTACAAGACTTGCTATGGGCCACCCTTGGGTGACTGACCTAGCCACTTCCCTTTATGGTCTAGACCCAGACCTTGAGTCAGACTTCAGAAAGTGTGACATCAGAAGTATCTGCTGATACTCTGTGGCTTCACAAGAATTGTCACTCGCAAGGGTGAAAAGGATAACTATTGCATTGTTTTTTACACCTGAAACTAAAAAAAAAAAAAAAAAAAAGAAGAAGAATTGTCACTCGTGTTGAGGCTTCTCTGGAGCATGATGTCCCAGCCCCCAAAGCAACTAAGCCCCATCACAACAAACAATCCCTGCATGTACGTCTTCATGTCTCTGTCTGGCATTTTGCCATGACCCCCATGAAATCTACCTTGGGCAGGCATCTGAGGTGTCTGAGATCCATACAGTGAAAGGATGGAGTCTTTAGAGAGCTGCTTCTTGCCTGTTTCTTCTGATTTGCTCCCTGGCTCTGGAAACAGGTTCAGGTTTTCAGGAACAGAGCCAGCACTCCCTGCAGTGGGCATGGAACCTACAACCTTCGGACAAAGAGGGCAGGGGGAGAATTGGAGTGGTCCTCCTGGGACCTCCCTCATCTCTCTGCTGCTTCTAACATTCGCAATGAGAATTCATGGCTCAAGTTAATAGACACGACATTTTCATCAAACATCTAAAAATACCTGATAGTTAAGCTCTGGTACAATTCTTTGTTCTTTAGCAAAACAATGTGATTTGGTTAAAAAAATGAAAACTAACTAAATAAAAATAAATGAAAACAACTTACAAATGATGCAGCCAGAAAGCACTGAGTTTGGATCCCAGTGTAGCCATTTACTTGTTGTATAGCGAAAGGCTAGTTACATAACTTTTCTGAACTAATGTTTCCTCAGCTATAAAATATCCATTATGCAGGGTTGTGGTGAAAATTTTAAATTATAAATGAAATATACAAAATGATATACAAACACTGTGCTTGGTACATAGTAGGTATTCCACAAATGATAGCCACCAAATGTTTCAAGTCTCTCATTATCTACAAATTCTCTGGCAATAACTCGGGCTGAGGAGTTGACCTGAAGTATCAATCAGCCTTTACAATCTGATACACCTTAGA